GAACCGCGGTCCCTGATGCTTTTGCTAAGCTTGTTCTAAGTAGGTGCTTTAGACCACTGAGCCATCTCTCCAGCCCCTCATGTGAGTTTTAATGTGGAAGATACCAATAAAGAACTTAATTTGTAAATACCAAGCCAGTGAATACTTAAAAAGAGAAATATAAGCTGAAGATCAAGTTCCACAGCAAATTAATGGTCTGCAAATATCTGCACACATACCTGGCAGAGCAGTTATGAAATCCCGCTGCAACATAGGTTTCAGATAGGAGTTTATGTGCCCATGTTGGTAATGGCACATTTGGGATATAAGATGCTCCACGAATTCCACTTGATCAGACTCTGACCACTGCTCAAAATACTTGACGCACAGCTCTTTTTCCTTCTCATAGCTTGCTGAAAGTTTTCGCTGCTTGGACACAATCATGCTGGAAGTGCCATTGGCAAGCTTTGTCTATAGAAGGGTGTGATTAAAAGACATAACAGTAAGTATTGGAAAGGAACAAAATGTCATGTATTTACAAGTATTTCTCTCTCAGTCACAGGATATTATTTCCACCTTCAGTTTTTATATTTTTACCTATGAATTTTTAGAAATGAGTGTTAGTATACCTAATTGTACCACCTTACTCTGATATTTCTGTGGCTTTCATGGAACAACTGTGCTTCACAGATGTCCAAATATTACCTAAATAACAATGTGGCTCAGCCATAAAGACATTAAAGCATGCCAGGCAAGAGACAGAGGGGAGAGAGAGAATGAGAGAACAAGGAGAAAAAGGCTGCAGAAGTAATCTGAGTCATTTCATTGAAGTCTCTCCGGTGGTGATGCTTGCGTCTTTCTACATAGGTAAATGCTTGCTTCTCCCATCAAGAGTGGAATTTAAAAGGATGGAAGAAAGAGTGGTGTGGTTGGCCCACGTGCGCCGGTCAGGAGACGGTGCCGTGAGGGCGCCCTGCCTTTCTCTCCCCACTCGTGTGGAGGACTTCGGGCTGACCTCTGGCTCTCCTACAGGAGGAGTGACACTTTTCAGAAAGGCACCTGCCCATCGGGTCAGGGCGGAAGAACCTAAAGACTAGACTGTAAAGAAGAGGACAGGAGCCATGCTTTTCCAAAGACCTGCACTACAGCTGCTTCGTCGATCTGGAAGAAGATGCGAGTCTGAGGCGGCCAGCAGTTCAGTTCTCGGAAGACCACGGACTCGCGTGCGGTTTCTTGGGCAAGCGAGCCAGGACCCTGTCATGAGACAGGTGGAAGGAAAAAATCCAGTCACCATATTTTCTCTAGCAACAAATGAGAAAATTTGGCGGTCTGAGGACAATGAAACAGACCAGAAGGGTGATGTCACTCAAAAGACAACATGGCACCGAGTATCAGTGTTTTGGCCAGGTCTTAAGAGATGGAGCATATCAGTATGTGAAGAAGGGGTCTCAAGTTTTCGAGGAAGGAAAAGTAGACTATGGTGAATACATGGATAAAAACAATGTGAGGCGACAAGCAACAACAATCATAGCAGACATTATCTTTTTGAGTGACCAGACAAAAGAAAAGGAATGAACAGATGATTCTTGGGCCGTTGTTGGGTATAGTCTCATTTCTAAATTATATATAGTCTTTATAGGGTGGTTTTGTGTGTGTGTGTGTGTTTTACGGAACCGGGGATTGAACTCAGGCCCTTGCGCTTGCCGGGGAAGTGCTTATTCCACTGAGCCATCTCCCCGTCCCTAGTCTTTATAGTTTTAAGGATAAGAATTAAAATGGTATTTTACAAAATGAAAAAAAAAAAGCAAAAAGAGGGGAATTTAAGGGCTGAGGACATAACTCAGTGAAAAGTGCTTGCCTGTATGTGCAAGCCCCTTGGGTCAATCCCCTGTATGTCCAAAAGGGGAGAAAGAGCGGAATTATGTCTTAGTTTTCAATCTGGGCTTTGACTAGCAGAATATGGAGACGTCGTATTCTGGACCTTCTAAGCCAGTGCAGTCTTTCTGGGAGCCTTGAGCTGACATGGAGGTTTAGGCAACCCTGCCAGAGAGGGAGACATGGAGGGTGAGAAGATGAACAGAGAGTAAAGCATGAAGGCAAAACAAGCAGGCCACGTCTTGGCCACTTCAAGTGCCCACTGAAAGGAGCTAGTGTGGCAGCTGTGGACACGAGATCAGCTCATATTCTGACAGCAGGTCTAATAGGATCTGCTCACAGACTGGATTCTACGGCTACAAGCAAAAGCGATAAAGCCTGTGCTCTAGTTGGAAGCAAAGCAGGGTGGAGGGCGAGGTAACGATTTAAAAGTCAACAGAAACTCTTGCTCAAGTGTACATAGTCTTTAGAGGACAACCACAAATCTGCACAACTGCGTACTTTTCAAAATAAGCTGAGGTGGGCTGGGGAGATAGCTCAGTAGAGTAAGTGCCTGCCTGGCAAGCACAGGTCCTGAGTTCAATCCCCAGTACCTCAAAAACAAAAACAAAACAAAAAACACCCCAACTTGATGAAATTCTGGCATACTTGCCTGAGGCAACCTTGTACTGGCTGATACATTGTGTCAACTTGAGAAGCTAAAAAGTTTAATTAGTGGCTCTGCAGAGAGCCAGGGTTGCTCTTTTTGAGAAGTGCAGGAGAGGGGCACGATACTGTGTAGTTGTACACCCCCTCCCCAGGGGCACGGAGGACCCTCCCTAGAGTGACTTGGCACTTAATGTATAAAGGGGACTGAGGAAGGATAGTGTGTGTTTGCAGTCAGCATGGAAGGAAGGAAGATAGGCTTGTTAGAAGCTGCAGCTGCCTGCATCTCCTCCCTTTGCTCTTTGCTGTTTTCTACCGCCATGAACTGCTGCCCTCTGCTGTGTGCCAGTCTGCCTCGGAGCCAGTGGAGTACGGACTGAAAATTCCACTAACTGTGAGCTAAATAAACCTTTCCTTTTTTGGTTTAATTTTGGGTGTTGGGTATTTTGTCTCAACAACGAGACAAGAGTAACTGAGACAAACCCTCCCCCCTTTTTAAAAATTGTACCTCTCAGATTTTATTTATTCTTTCATGCTCTTACACTAGTAGGACAATAGGATGCATGCACATGTAGTCTGATTTCACTTACAAGTATGGTCTCCAGTTGTATCCATTTACCTATAAAGGCGCTGAGTTTATCTTTAGTCCTCCATTGTACAAAAATACCATATCATTTTTATCCATTTCTCAGTTAATGGGCATCTGGATTGCTCCCCAGATTTAGCTGTGCGAAAATGCACTGCTATAAACACGGGTGCGCACATATTGCTATAGTATGGTGTTTTCAGTTCTGGAAAAATAACCAGGAGGGAAAGAGCTGGGCTGGATGGGACCTCCAACCCTAGGTTTCTGAAGGATCTCCACACTGATTTTCACAGAGGTTGTACAGTCTACACTCGCACCAACAGGGGAGGATTCCTTTTTCCCCATAGACTAGCTAGCATTTGTTATTGGTCGACTTCTTGATGGCAGCCATTCTTTTGGGGGCAAGGTGGAATCTCAGTGTTGTTTTAACGCAAATATCTCAAACGACCAATGACATTGAACATTTTTTTCATATTTTTGCCATTTTTATTTCTTCATCTGAAAAGTGTGTATTCATCTCAGATGCTCATTTTGGATTGGGTCTCTGAATTTTGGGGCCTAATTTTAAAAAATTCTTTATGTTCTAGATAGAAGTCCTTTGCCTAAGGGATAGCTGGCTAAAAATTTTCCCCCCCAATTCATGTGTTTACTTTGTACTCTGTTGATGATTTCTTTTGATGTGCAAATCTTTTCAATAGATGCAATCCCAAGGGCCAGGGAGATAGCTCAATAGAACAAGTGCTTGCCTGGAAAGCGCAGGGTCCTGAGTTTAATCCCTGATATAGGAAAAAAAAAAAAACAAACAACAAAAGATGCAATCCCAGTTATGGATTCTTTGAAGTATATCCTGTGCAGTTTGTTTTTTGTTTATGAACTCTCTGCCTACCCTATGTCCTCAAGGTTTCTATGTACTTTCTCTTCCAGTAGATTCAGTGTTTCTCTTTTAATATTCAGATATATTTTCCATTTTGACTTTAATTTAATGCATAGGTTAGACATGGGTCCAGTTTTAGTCTTCCACATGTAAAAGCCAGTTGTTTTTTTTTTTTTTTTCCAGCACCGTTAGTAAAAGAGGCTGTCTTTCTTCCAGTGAACATGTTTGGTCCCTTTGTCAGATAAGGTGGTTGAGTGTGTTTGTCTGCATCTTCTAATCTGTTCCAATGATCTTCATCTGTGTTACTTGTTTTGTTTTGGTTTTTGGTCAGTATCATGCTGATTTTTATCACAGGAGCTTTGCAGTATAATTTCACATCAGGGATTTTGATGCCTTCTGCCTTACCTTTGTTGTTCAGAAATGCTTTTGCAATCTCCCCAATTTGGCAAGAAGACCCATGTTACTAAAAGAGTTCATCCTTGCCTAGACAAACTTGAATGGGCTATCAAACAGTACCACATATGGGTAATATACATTTGCTACTTAAGATACTGGCTTGCCTTACCCTCTTTATAAACAGTTCCTGATTCACAGATGAAAGCATGTTTTGAAAAATGGCATTAAGCTACTGTTTACAAGGAAAAAGATGATACCTGTAAGCATCAAGCTCTGGTATGCAGAATTTTTTTTTAGCATAAATGCCACTGTTGGAGGGCCTGCCCCTTAGCTCAGTTCTTTAAGTAGCTGCTTCAACAAAGCAGTCAGGATCAGGTTGCTGTGGTTCGATCCCAACAACTCAAGCCAGCCAAACCTGCCCTGAAGGCATTCGGAGCAAAAAAACCCCCTTCTGCTTAGGGGCCAGGGAGATGGCTCAGTGGAATAAGTGCTTCCCTGGCAAACGCAAGGGTCTGAGTTCAATCCCCGGTTCCGCCAAAAAATAAATAAATAAATAAATAAATAAATAAAAAATAAAATAAAAATTAAAAAATGCCACTGTTGTCTTTGACAGAGACTAAAAATGATAATCTTGTTAGACACAAGTGTTGGGGACCTTGGGGTTGTTTTTTCTCCCATGGGTTATTTATCTGCATCTCAGCAAAAAAAAAAAAAAAAAAAGTTATCAAATGTAAAGAGTTGGAGAGCTAATGACCAAATGGGTTTATAAATTCAACCAAAGGGTATACCCTACCCTCCCAATCAAAGCCTCCCACCCTGTCACTGTTTATCTCTTTTGTCTTCTGAAAGATAGTATCCATCTTGAGTATTACTCAGTAATGTTTTCTGGATAAAGTCCAGAAACATCAGTAACAGAGAACAATCATCAAGTTAATAAAATGACTCTTTTTCTTTTTTAAATAATTCATGCATTTCTATAATCATAAAGAATTGTGTTTTCAGGCTGGTGAGATGGCTCAGTGGTCTAAAGCACCTATTTAGAACAAGCTTAGCAAAGCACAGGGACCGCGGTTCAATCCCCCAGCACAACATGCC